TCCTTGGAGGCCAGGATGGCCAAACTTGGTCACTCATACTTCAGACATATTATCACGAGGGACCAGCCCCTAGAGAAGGACATCATGCTTGGTAAAGTGGAGGGTCAGAGAAAAAGAGGAAGCCCCCAGCGAGAAGGATTGGCAAAGTAGCAGCATCGATGGGCTCAAGCGTGGCAACAATTGTGAGGTTGGTCCAGGACCGGGCAGTGTTTCGTTCTGTCGTGCATAAGGTCACTATGGGTCAGTACCGACTAGATGACACTTAACAACAACAAGCAAATACATTAAAGTGCTGAGGAGCAAAGATGTCAGTTTGAGGACTAAGGTGCACCTGACCCAAGCCATGGTATTTTCAATAACCTCATATGCATGTGAGAGCTGGACAATGAATAAGGAAGACCGTAGAAGAATTGATACATTTGAGTTACGGTGTTGGGGGAGACTATTAAAAGTACCATGGGCTGCCAGAAGAACAAACAGATCTGTGTTGGAAGAAATACAACCAGAGCACTCCTTGGAGGCCAGGATGGCCAGACTTTGTCTGTTATACTCGGACACATTGTCAGAAGGGACCAGTCCCTGGAGAAGGACATCATGCTTGGTAAAGTGGAGGGTCAGTGAAAAAGAGGAAGACCCTCCAATGGGATGGATTAGCACAGTGGCAGCAGCAGTGGGCTCAAGCGTGGCAAAGATTGTAAGGTTGGCGCAGGATCGGGCAGTGTTTCATTCTGTTGTGCACGGGGTCACCATGGCACCTCTCAAAGATGAGGCTGCCTGCTTCGGGTGAAGATTGACAGCCTTGGAAACACTAGGAGGGTATGGGGGGGGGCGGCGGCGGAGAAAACACAGGCTCAGTGAGCACTCTCCTACCCCACCCCACCCCTGGCAAATACACGCACAGGGTTGTGGCTGTTCACTCCTGCAGCTGCAGGTCTGCTCCGAGCCCTCGGTGAGGGTTGAAGACTGTCTGGATCAGCAGCCCGTATCCAGACAGACAGGGGGCATCTGGTGCCCATTGCCTTCTGTCCACACCATCCCAGCACACAGACTGAGGGAAAACATCCTCCTAGAAGATGTGCTGAAGACAATGCCTGGCCATGAAATGTTTCCAACACAAGGTCATTGTGAGTCAGCACGTCCTCGACAACAGGTAGAAACAGGAAATTTGGAGAAAAGTCCCCAGACTCCATCAGGTGGCGCACCCGGTCCTGGTCTCATCACCAGGCCAGTAAAGAACATTCTAGACGGCTGTCTCATCGCACTAAGATGAAGAGACTCATGCCTCCTGGAGTGCGGGGGTTCTGCCCCACCTCACCCCTCTCTGTGTTGAAGATGATGGTGGACTAGGCCCTGAAAGACCTTCAAGGACACAGGTCATGTGCTCATTAGGGACTCGGCTGTTCTGGAAGGGAAGAGCAGTTTGTGGGGTGGGAGCTGAGTCCATACAATAAAACCACACTGGTGAGACAAGGAGGCCGGGCCCTGGAATGACTGAGCCTGGAGACATAGGAAAACACAGGCCAGGGGAATGCCCTGGGGCTAGAGGAAACAGTGCCCTGGCGCTGGGGACAGATACACCGGGCCAGGACCACCCCAGAGCTGCCCAAGGGGTCCTGTTTTTGACAATTTCTTGACAAAGTTCCTGGAGCTGAAGGGGTGGGGTTTATGCCATTACAGCTGTCCCTTCTCCCCCAGGGACCCTCAGCGTAGAGCTAGAGCCATAGGAAGAGGGACCCCCCCCCAAGGGGCTCTAACTGTCCTAATGCCAGAGTCTCACTCCGTGGGGTGGGTCAGGGAGGACCTAACTCTCAGGGGTTATCACCTGGTGATTCAGAAAACTAGAAGTGGGTTGGAACCAGCAAAGGGCAGCTTCCTGCACGTTACCCAAGCCCTAAGGGGTCTCTAATAACACGTCAGGGGGGAACTACTAGGACATGTATAATGAACAAATGTGCTGCACAAAGTGTTCAAGAGCAAAGAAGTCAGTCTGAGGACTAAGGTGTGCTTAAGACAAAACCTGGCATTTTTAATAGCCTCAAACCTGGACAACCAATAAGGAAGACCGTAGAAGAATTGATGCATTTGATTATACTGTTGAAGGAGAATACTAAAAGTGCCATCGACTGCCAAAAGAATGAGTAAATCTGTCTTAGATGAGAAGTACAGCCAGAAGGCCCTTTAGAAGCCAGGATGGTGAGACTTGGTGTCTTGTGTTCTGGGCATGTTGTCAGGAGGGACCAGTACCTGGAGAAGGACATCAGGCTTGGTAAAGTCCAGGGTCAGCACAAACACAAGAAGCCCAGTAAGGAGATGGGTTGACATGGTGACTACAACCCTGGACCGGGGGAGAATGAGGTGGCAGCTGCTTCCATAAAGATTTACAGCCTTGGAACCTCGATGGGGCCATTGTGTTCTGTCTTGTAGGGCCGCTGGAGGGTGATGGGTTTGGTTTGGGGTTTTTGCTTATGGAGCCCTGGCAGTGAAATGGTGACACACTCAGCTGCTAGCCAAAAGATCTGCGGTTCAAATCCACTGGCCACTCCTCAGGAGAAAGATGTGGCAGTTTGCTTTTGTGAAGATTTATCGTTTTGGAAACCCTATGGGGCAGTTCCACTCTGGGAGTCCAAATTACCCCCACCACAGTCGACTGTATTTTATACGTGATGGCACGGAGGGGGGCAAGGGGAATTCCAGGAAGAGGCGGACACGGAACCCCCACCTTCTCACTAAACACAGCAATCCCTTTGCCTCCCCCTACTCTCCTCCCCCACCACACCTCTGTGTCTGGATGCAGGAAGGGGATGGAGGGAGCGTGGCCTTCACTCTGGTCTGGTCCTGCTATGTCAAATGCAATGGCTCTGGGTGGGGTGTCAGGCAGGATGTGTGGGCAGGTGAAGATCCCCACGGCCCCCTGCTCCCGGCTGTGTGGTCAGGAAGCCGTGGTGACTGGTGTGGGCAGACCCTGACAAGGCCAGTACCGCGTGCAGGGGACGAGTACCTACCCGATGTTCCAGGTCATTCTTTCCGTGCCGTGGGAGGGAGTCAGATTTGGAATAGGGAAATCCTGAAACAGACACAGCACAGCTTTGTCACACACACAGATGGGACAGTGGCGAGGCAGGCGGGGCTGGGGGTCAGGACACACAACACCGGAGAAGCAAGGCTGTGTTCCACCGTCCCTGCAGCCGGGTCCAGGCCCTGCCTCAGCCACAACCTCTGATCCTGGGCACTGGGGGCTGATCACAAAGGGGTCACAGCTCCAAGTTGGCCCAGTTTTTAAAGGACTCAGCCCCTTGGCACCCTGTGTCCAGGGACAGGCTGAGCCCTGGCCAGGATCCCCCTCTTCTAGGCCAGGACACAGAGGCAGACAGGAGGAACCCAGGGTACTGGGGGAATCACAGACCCTACTCCAGACAAATTCTGGGGCTGTGAGCTGGGTTTTCATAAGCCCTCGCTCTGGGTGATTGTGATGCATACTCAGGTTTGGGGGTTACTGCAAACACCCTCACTCGTATACTCCCCCAAATCTGAAACCTGTAGCTCTCCATTCTGGCTTCAGACTGCTGCTGCCTGGGAGACCCCTTGGCATCGGCGTTTCTTCACTTCAGGGGAAGTATCGGAAACTTTGCTACCAGTGAGGACCCTTTATCCACCACACTAGAAAAACACAGTTCTTCTGCTGACACTGAGCAACCCCATCCGATGGAGTTATACATTTTGTCCAGGCTCACGCATGACAAGATGGATACAGCCTCCTCTACTTTTACCTACGCTGCTGCGGTTACCTTTCTGAAGATCCACGCCTTCTTCTGTTAGCATTTCCTTTCTGTTGATCTGATGTTGGAATGGGAACTTCATTCAGCCATTCTTTAAGGGCAGGTCTGCTAGTGGCAAATCTGCTTAGGTTTCCCTTTTCTGATCATGTATTTATTCCCCTCCATTCCTGAGGAGTATTTTCACCGAATGGAGAAGTCATGTTCTTTCCACTTCCTTCTGATTTCCATGGTTTTAGATTGGAGAACCCTATAGCTGGGGTCCTGGAGTGGTGCTGTAGGTTAATGCGTTAGGCTGCAAAGTCAGTTTGAACTGCAAAGTTGGTGGTTCAAGCTCACCAGCCGCTCCTCAAAAACCCTATACAGGGTCTCTATGGGTCGGAACCAACTTGATGGCACTTAACAACAACTGGTATTATGGCTTTTTGCTGTGGCTGCTTTCAAGATTTTTCCTTTGTCTTCAGTATTTAATTGTGATGTGTGTTGGTGTGCATTTCTTTAGGTTTATCCTATTTGGAGTTTATTCAGATGACTGAGTCTGTAGGATTTTGTGTTTCAGCACAGTTTGGGATTTTTCAGCCATTGTTTTTTGAATATGTTTAATCTCCAGTCTTTCTCCTCTTTCTCTGGGACTCCATAATGCCAGAGCTGCCTCTGAAAGTCTGTCCTCCTTTCCTCCTTTCTCTCTGCTCTTCAGATCCGGTGAGCCCTACTGTTCTGGTACCAAGTTCTCTGATTTTTGACCTCTGTTGTATTCTAATATGCTCTCGTTACACGGATCCAGTGAAGTTTTGGTGACTGCATCCAACTGATGTCTGATTCTTTTCTTCAACGTGTGTTTGCGTCTTCTGTTTCTGTAGTAAGATTTCCCATGTTCCCCGTCTGTTTTAAAAGTACTGGCTTGCTGAAGCAGTTGTTTATGATGGTACCTTTCAAACCATGGCCAGTCATTCTAACATCAGACCAACGCCATGTTGGTGCCTGCCGCTACTGGCCTTTCTTCATTCAAGTTATTTTTATAATTCCTTGCATGGTGAGTGATTTCTTTTACTGTATGCTGGACATTTTGGATATTATGTTAGAAGACTCTGGATCCTATGAAAATTATCTGTTTCAGCAGGTTGTTATCTGGTTTAAGTTTAGAGTGTCGCGACAATAGAGTTTCCAGATCAACACCGTCTCCTGACCTCCATCCTCTCGGCTTCCTCACTGCTCCTCAGACACAGTGTGGTCAGGGTGGACAGGGGCCACTAGACATAGTGCCCAACACTTGGCTCAAACAACAGAAGCATACCCTCTCACAGCTCAGGGGCCGGGGTCTGAGACCCAGGTGTGTGAGAGCCACACTCCCTGCAGCGTTTCCAGGGAGGACCGACGTCTCCTGGTCTCTTCCAGTTTCTGGTGGCCCCAGGCTTTCCTGGGCTTACAGCTGCATCTCTCCAATCTCTGCTTCCCTATCATGTGATCATCTTCACTCTGAGCCGGTGATTTTCTGGCTTCTGATTTCTTACAGGGACACATGTCACTGGACTTTGGGCACCAGACGAACCCAGGATGAACTCATCTTGCGATCCTGAACTCAATGACAGTTCAGAGATACCTTTTCCATACAACATCACACCCTGAGTACCAGAGCTGTGTTGTGGTTGTTAAGTGCCGTCAAGTCTATTCTGACTCATTGTGACCCTATATAGGGTTTCCCAGGAGCAGATGGTGGGTTTAAACTGCTGACTGTGTGGTTAGTAGTCCAGCGCTTATCCCACAACACCACACCAGGAGCCTGTTGTGGTTGTGAAGGACCATCAGTCTGGCTCCAACTCATTGAGAGCCCACACCCTGCAGCACTCTCATAACCCTTGGGACCCTTGAGTCCACTGGTTCCGTCCCTGTGCTAGTCCATCTCGTTGGGGGTCTTCCTCTTTTTCACTGACCCTCCACTTTTACAAGCATGATGCCCTTCTCCAGGGACTGGTCCCTCCTGATCATATGTCCAAAGTTACATGAGACAAATACTCACTATTGGTTACTGCTGGGGAGCATTCTGCATGTGCTTCTTCCACGACACGTGTGTTCATTCTTTTCACAGCGCAGGAAATAGTCAAGATTCTTCACCAACACCATCATTCAAAGGCATCAATCTGTCTCCAGTTTTCAGGTGTTAGGATTTGGATATCGCTTTTGGGGGTACACAATTCAACACCTCAGAGCTCCCTTCAAGTCTTGCTCCAATACTGTCTTCCTCCCCTGAGCCTCAGATTAAAAACGGCACCTCCCACACAGCCTGGTGCCTCCCCTGCCCTGCACAGTGACAGTGTTTTTGTGGGTACTTGCTCAAAGTTGGTTCCGACTCATAAAGACCCTTCATACAACAGAATGAAATACCTCCTGGGCCTGTACCAGCCTCACAATGGTGTTATGTCTGAATCCAGTGTGGCAGCTGCCAGTCAGTCCATGTCCTGCAGAGTCTTCCTCTTTTCTCACTGACACCCACAGTGCCGACACAATCTAGTTTCTAATTGGGTTTGTGCTTATCACCCACTTCCGCCAGAACACAGTTCCACCGACCAGGAACGTTTGCCTGTTTGTGTTCTGCACTAGTTCAGGACCAAGTTCAGGGCCAGGAGGTTGGAAGAAGCTCATTACCTAGGTGCTGACTGACAGGGGGGTCATGCCCTCACTTTGGGACCTTGTTGTCCTCATCATAAAATGATATATTCAGTCCTGATATTTTTGGGTTCACCCCTACAAGTTCTCAGGCCACAATGTTCAGGACAGGATCATAGTCCACTCTGCCCAACAGTCTGGAATATTATTGGTGTTGTAAGTGGGACTCTGGTAGCATAGTGGTTACGAATCAGGCTGTGAACCTCAAGGTCAGCAGTTCGAAACTACCAGCTGCTCCGTGGGAGAAACATGAGGCTTGCTGCTCCCGTAAAGATTTACAGCCTCAGAAACCCTGTTCAGGGTCGCTATGGGTCAGAACCGACTCAACAGCACTTCACAACAACAACAAGTGGGACACAATTGGTCTCATGAGGTTGGCTGATGGAAGGCAGGGTGTGTCTTCCTTTCAACCACGAACTAAGAAATGTACAAATGGCTTTTGCTCTTCATGTACTTTGGAGGTACTATCAGGAGGGACCAGTCCTTGAAGAAGGACATCATGCTTGGTAAAGTGGAGGGTCAGCGATAAAGATGTCCCTCCAAGAGATGGACTAACACAGTGAATGCAACATTGGGTTCAACCGTGGCAACGGTTTGAGGACGGCACAGGACTGGGCAGTGTTTCACTCTGCTGGACATAGATAGGGTGGCTGTAAGTCAGAATCAACTTGAGAGCAACAACAATAAAGTCCAGAGATACAAAGGGGGTGTGGGGGGGGGAGTAAAACTACTTCTGAATCAATCCGAGTCCCCCATGCTCCAGCTGGCAGGAAAAATGAGGCTGAAGTGTCACTTTTGCAATGTCCAGCTGAAGCAGTCACCAAGCTGGGCCTGAGACCTGGCCAGCCAGATAAGGAATGAACAGAGTCATGCTTTTCCATCAAACACAGGTCTCTCCAGGGAGCCTTCAGAGGGAGGGGGCATAGGCAGGTTGGGGTGGAGCAGCCCACACAGGTGACCTCTCACCTGTTCTGCCTTTGGTTCTAAGTCGGGCCTTTCCTCTTCCTGATCTCCAAGCTGAACCACCTTCCTCCACCCACCTCCTCACCTATGTCATGTACTGGGCCCAAGGAAGAGAACTGAGCTGTTGCAAGAGACCACAGAGCCCACTGGACAGGGTCTCCAGACAGTTGGGGGAAGCGGGTTATTAATTAAAACAGCTTCAACCGACCTTGCAGTTCAGAGCGACTTTGCAGTCCAGCGCATTAACCCACAGCGCCACCCCAGGACTCCATGTGTTGGATAAAGAGGAATGAGAGGTTTCTATAATAAGATATCATTTCAGTAGGAGAACCTTTTTGGAGGGAGTGGTACTAGCTGGCTGAGAACCACTGGCAAAGTGGATGAGGCTGGCACACTGGTTTGTCAATGCGATTGGGTCATCTGGCTTCTCCGCTGGGGGTGGGGACTGGGCTGTGCCCACCACTGCCTCTCAGGTCCAGCACACAGTAGGTGCTCACTAAAGACTGGAGGAATGGATGAATGACTGAAGGAAGACATATCTGGTGGGATGTACTGATGGTATCACCAGTGGGAATGAGGGCACGACAGGGCCCCCTGTGAACCCAGAGTGCCCACTGAGAGTCAGAGTGGGCAGGTGGTGGGCAGCAGGACATCTTTGTACTTAGTCCTATTGGTGCCTCTCTTCTTAGGCCAGGGGGCTCGACGTCTTGTTCTCCCCCTGGGCACCCAGCAGTGTCTGGTATTGGCACCTCTCTTCCTGGGCCAGGGGCTGCTCTTGGCATCTTGTTCTCCCCCTGGGCACCCAGCAGTGTCTGGCACAGAGTGGGTGCTCAGTAAACACCCGTTGAATTCAATGCATCTCAATTCAACAAACATTTATTGAGTGCCCACAGTGTTGAGCATCACAGCCCTAACGTCCTTGTGTGTGCTACAGGAGAGCATCCCAGGAGCGCAGCAGGCGGTGCACCTTGCTCGAGGTAGTCTCTTTGCTTACTGCAAGCTGTGTGCAAATGGACCGGTGTCAATGGGCTCAGATTTGGAGACTTGTGGGTGAGACTGAAAGAAACTCTGAGAGAAGAGGGTGGAGAAGCTTTGATCCACGTGAGAGCTGCCCATCCTGCCGGAATCTCCACAGGCCGCACAGAGCAGGGTGCCTGACCCCATGCATGTGGGCAGCCTGGGTCCTCACTGCTGACTCCAGGTACACAGGGAAGCAGAAATGATGCTATGGTCACAGTGGCCAGGCACAGTGAGCCTCCTGCTCAGAGGAACCAATGTCCGAGCACCAGGACAAAGTGAGGGCAAGACACAGTCAGAATCACAGCTGCCATAAACGTTACTGACAGGAAGGACAAGATGTGTGCACATCAAGGGATGCTGCCTTCATCAGGGATTCCAGCAAGCTGACGCACTCCTGCGGAAGTTCTTCAGGCCCACCTGTGCTCCCACGCCCACCTGCAGCACTCAGGGATGAAGCTGACCAGTAAGCCCTTGCAGCTGTTTTGTGATTGCCCAGTAAAACCATTTGGCAGACCCTCCACCCCGTCCCACTCACGTCGGCCATTTGTCAAGCCCAGGTGAGCAGAGGTGAAGGACACAGGAAAAGGCCAGTTGTTAGGCAGCGACAGGTAGGTCCTCCTCCCTACACCATTGTGCCCCCAACTCCCCCACCCGAGCACAGGCCACAGACCGAGTGGGAGCCCAGGGGACGGCAGGGGGGCAGGTGGTGGCATGGCACCAGTCTTTCAGGTGAAGGGCTGTCTGCCAGCCTGTAGGGAAGCCTGTGAGCTGGACACACATTTACCAAGAGCTCCTGGTGCCCGCCTTGAAGGGCCCCCCAGGCCAGCACACTGGCCAAGTCGGGGAGGGACTGAGAGGCTGCTGAGTTAGTAAGCAAGACTTGCTGCTGGACTGTTGGATCACTTCCAACTCATGGTGAAGCCCCCAGACAGGGTAGAGCATACATCGCACCGGGTTACCTAGGCTGTCAGTCTCTCCAGAAGCAGATCTCTAGGTCTTTTTCCCTCAGAGTCAGTGGGTGGGTTGCAACCACCAACCATTCTGGTGACAGCCAAGTGCTTAAGCATTGCGCCACCAGGGCTTAAGAGCATACAACTCTCTAAACACTGGGACCGTAAGGGAGGAGCAAACACAAATCAGAAAGATCCACTGCAGCAAAGGCCGGGGCCACGTAGCAAACAGACATCAGCTTACAAAGTTCACCCACAAAGCAATGACCAATATAGCTGTGTTTCACTTTGTTTTTAAAACCAACCATCTTCACGCTTTCCTCTCACATGGAGGCGTTAAAACCACACGGGAAGTTGCTCATGTTACATGAGAGTGTTTACTGGGGATTGTCATGACGATGAGAATGAGGGTGGAGTATACAACTGTTTACTGAGCATCTGCTACGGACCAGCCAGGGCACCTGTATGTGTGGGGGGTGAGGGGAGCAGGCAGGGGGAGGGGAGGTACTGAGTTACCACTTTCGAGCATATGAACAACCCAGAGACCACTCAGCCATTCATGGCGGAACATCAGTGGTGGGACCTGGCTTTGAACTGAGATCTGCCCCACTGCAAAGCCACCTTCTTCCCTGGGCTTTCTCACACCCACTTCCAATCCCTCTCTGCCTCTGCTGACTACTAAGCTGCAAGCTTTACCCACGGAAAAATCCCCACGTACAATCATGAGCCCCAAATCCATTTGTAGAGACACTGAGAGCTCGGCGTTGGGTACCACCTAGAAACAATGGCATCTTGAAACAAACCCTAGCATCTAGGTATCTGTTCTGCTTTTGAAAACCAAGCCCCCCCTCAGTCTTCACAACACCCCAGGAAGCCAGGCAGATGTTATCTTTGAGACTCCTTGGCCACCTGAGAACCTGGAGGTGGGACCATCTCTCTCCTCAGCTCCAAGTCTGGTCTTGGCCACCTGACATGCTCAGGCCTGTGCTCTGGGGGACAGGGCTGGCCCATCTAAGGCAGCAGGCTGGGGAAACGTTCTTTAGAATGACTTTCTCGCAGCCCTGGGAGAGTTAAGAAGACAAGGATCATATCTGCTTTGCGCCATCTTAGTGATCTTGCTTTTATATTTTGCAATGAGCAAGGTTCAGATTTGGGGGTCAGCATGGAGCTGCGGGGGGGTGGGGGGGCATAGCAGCTCCTTGCTCAAAAGAACCACTCACGTGAACAAAGGCTGTCACCGGGCATTCTCTGGGGAGGGTCTCTGTCCGTCCCGCTACTGAGTGACAGTGACTGGCTGTCCAGGTCAGGGGAGTTCGTCCTCGTGTCTGCGTCCCCTTTGAGGATCAGCCAACTAGGCTTCTACGGAGGAAAAACACATAAACCACTTACAATGGCGGGAACTTCTCGCCAGTCCCTCTGACCACTACCGACAACACTTGTCTACAAGTGGGTCCCACAACAGGAAAGCCTGACGTAGGAAAAACCCAGGTTGAAATTTAAAAGCTCAGTATCTGGTATGGCAATTCTGATTCTTTCTGGGGACGTCAGTGGTGGGGAAATGGTGTCACCCCATTTTACACAGGAGGGGACTGAAATCAGGGGGACCAACGGGCCCTATGGGTTTCTCAAGGGAGAGAGAGGTGAGGTCAGCTGGCCCACCCTGGGTTCTGCCCCATCCCCACCGACCTGCCTTCCTTGAAGACCCGTGAAGGCGGCCCAGGCTCTGAAGTGGTTGTGGCTGCCACCCACTTGGCTCCTGACTCAGGCAATGCCATACATGACGGAATAGCACGCCACCTGGTCCCACAACAACACTGGGACTGGTTGGGATACACTGGCTTCTTCCCTGCCTTATCTGGGGGTTCCACTGAAACCTGTTTGTTCAGCAGCATATAAGCTGCCGCCAACATACAGGAGCTGGGTGCGTATGAGGACCACTGGCCGGGAACTGAACCTGGGACTTGCGTATGGAAGGCGAGGGATCTTTCCTGGAACCACCACTGCCCCTCATGGATCTAAGGGAGGGGTACAGGCCAGATGCCCCGAAGCCCCCTTTGGAAGTGAAAGCTTTACTGGATACTGCCATGGCCTCACATGAAGGAACAGGCTTTGGGTACTGGGCAGAGGTGAGGGGCTTCCACAGCCTCAGGTGGCCTGAAACCCTCACACCCTGGGCCTTTTTAGAATAGGAATCCCAGAAGAGAGCAAATGGTTCACAGGCTTGGTTACACACCAAAAAGCTGGAGTCCACCCCATGGCACCTCAGAAGGAACGCCTGCCAATCGACATATGAATAGTCATTGAAAACCTGGAGGACACATTTATACCCTGACACACATGGGGGCACCATGAGTGGAATCTACTAATGAAGAATCATCCACTGAGAATGAGAACCCTGTGGGCACAGTTCTACTCTGACACATGCAGGGCACCATCAGTGGGATCTACTTATGAAACATCATCCATTGAGAACCCTGTGAGCACAGTTCTACTCTGACACACATAGGGACACAATGAGTGGGATCTACTTATGAAGAATTATCCACTGAGAACCCTGTGGGCACAGTTCTACTCTGACACATGCAGGGCACCATCAGTGGGATCTACTTATGAAACATCATCCACTGAGAACCCTGTGGGCACAGTTCTACTCTGACACACATGGGGGCACCATTAGTGGGATCTACTTATGAAAAATCATCCACTGAGAACCCTGTGGGGCACAGTTCTACTCTGACACACACGGGGCACCATGAGTGG